AACGGTACTGGAGCTGGATGGCATCTGGATGGAAACTTCGGATGCTTTACCGCATTGGGTGCAATGACAACGGTCTTTCAATCGGAAGTCTTTGCAATACTGAGAGTGGCAGACTGGATAACTGGCGGAAGGTGGCGCTGACATAAAATCAGTATCTGCAGTGATAGCCAAGCGGCTCTAAAGGCCCTGGAAACCGCTCAAATGCTCAACAAATTGGACATAGCGCTTTTGTATGAATTTTATCTGCACGATTTTTAATATGTTGAAAAAATTGCTGGAAAACCTTAAAATGTTTGCATGGAACCATGTCGCAATAAACAGGTGAAATAATAAAACAACTTTCTCGCTTTATTTTCTGTCATTCGGCTGCCTTGTATTCAAATTTTAAAGGTAAGGAGAGATTGAGTGTTCACCACCGGTTTCAGTAAAAAAATTGAAAGTTAGCCAAATCTTACTGTTAAAAAGTAACTCTTTCATAGCAATGCGTCAATAAATTAAGTTCGTTATTTTTTGATGTATGGCCGTAAAAATTGGCGGATGCAGAACTTTACTTAAGTTGTTAAAAAATATATGTAGAATGAAATTTATATAAAGTAGAAAAGGTCTAAATTGCTCTATNAGTTGTTAAAAAATATATGTAGAATGAAATTTATATAAAGAAGAAAAGGTCTAAATTGCTCTACCAAGGTGTATTAAGCCAAGGCATATTCAACAAGGTATAAGTTGCAATTCAGTCGAGCTCTCTCATAGCTGACTGTAATCAAAGGAAAACACTGTGGCTTCAGTTTTCTTATGAAGAAGCCCCATTTTATTCTTTTTCTTTCAGCAACACTATCGTAAGTCAGCATATAAATGATATACGTTTTCTCTCGCGCGCCCGCACACACGGAAATTACGTTTTTGACAGTTTTCTTATGATGTGAGCATCAGAATGCTGTCAAAAGACTGCCCATCTGAAGTACTTATGTTGACTCATGCTTGCAACAATGCACTTTCAACATGGGCTGACAATACTTTAAGACCATCAGAATTGGTAGGCAACCTTGAATTCACTTTCTTTGTATATTCTTCTTCTTCTTCTTTTTTGGCGCTGTAACCGCCTAAGCGATTTTGGCCGAGTTCAGCAAAGCACGCCAGTCGTTTCTCCTCTGTGCCAACTGACGCCAATTGGAAACGCCAAGTGAAGCCAAGTCCTTCTCCACCTGATCTTTCCATCGCAGTGGGGGCCTCCCTCTTCCTCTGCTACCACCAGCGGGTTCCGAGTTGAATACTTTCAGAGCTGGAGCGTCGGTGTCCATTCGAACGACATGACCAAGCCAGCGGGTACTCGGCGACGGAGTCTCTCTCCCACCACAAATCCAACTCCGAATTTGCGCTCCTTTACATGGCAGCTGTAGTAGACGTCGCAAGGCCCCAGACATTGTTTGCCTTGCCCCGTCCAACGCATTTCTTGGATGGCGGTATGTCAGCTTTTGTCCTTACGAGGACATCAACCAGCCGGGCAGAGGCACCTCCCCATTAAGGGTCCGGACATTCCAGGTGCATACCCTCAAATCGTAGTCCTTTAAACATTTGCCGTGGTCGTCATCATAAGGGGGGGTCTCATCCGAGGCTTTGCTTTGCTTCTTCACTGGAAGTGGTTTTTACGTGACGGGTCCCAAGC